CTCTGCCTCCCGAGTGCTGGGATTAAAGGCGTGCGCCACCACCGCCCGGCAGGAACAACTTTCTTTTAAAACCAAATCTAACAAGTAGCCCACAACCCAGGGAACTGTCAGTTTCTTGAGTGTTGGTTGCTAGGCAATGTGATCTTTCCATGATTCAGGCCCAGGGTCTCTAGCACTTCAGACCTCAGAAGCTGTGACAATCCCATTCTGCCTTAGCCTATAGCCCCCCCCCCCCAACACACACACTGCCACCATCCCAGGTTCTCCCCAGGGGGAGCCCTGGCAGGTGACTGATAGCCCTAAATGCCCTCAGGCCCCACAATCTCCAACTTACCATGATCCAGAGGGGAGAAGGCACCCGAGAAAGGGTATGGGAGTTGTCAGAAGTGACGGATGGAACCCCGGCACACCACAGCAGGGAGAAGAGCCACGGAGCGTTGACAGTGTAGAGGTTTACACTCAGGTTCCAGGATGCATAGTCCCTGGGCAGGGGACAGAGGTTGGTCAGCTGTCTCTAGGCGCTCTGCTGCATGAAGCTGGAGGAGCACCCCGACAGACTGTCACCCTCACAGCCACCCCAGGAGGAAGGCATGTCTGCGTCCAAGCTCACAGGACAAGCCCCGCTCTGCCCAGTGCTTCCCGCCCCACATCCAAACCCTGTGTGTTCTGCCCTGTGCCCACATGTCATAGGTGGAGGGTTAAACTGGGGGTACACAGTCCCTCCCTCCCTCCTTCAGGGGCACCTGGGGTGGCACAGGGCAGGCACCTGAGCTCCTGGTGAGACACCTGAGTGTATCGAAGGTTCAGCTTCTGGATGTGACCTTTCCGTAGGCTGGCAATGGCTTCTTTAGACCCAGATGTTTGCTGGAAGCCAGGCGCCATCTTCCGAACTAAAGGCCTCTGCCTGTTAGGCAGCCACATGACCTGCCGGCAGGAGCCAGGGTGGTGAGGGCTCTAGTCCTGCTAGACCCTTCGAGGGTCAAAAAGAGGCCCGTCCACAGCAATGGAGCCCATAGTGAACAACTCGGGCAGCTTCCCTGGTCAAGACAAGATGGGCAGCCCCCCCCCCCCTCTGAGCATCTACAGAACTGTGTGTCACAGAGTGGCTTCAGGTTCCCAAAGTGTCACACCACGGTGATCTGGGTCTCGTTCCACTGACGTAACCAGGGAACACAGAGGCGCCCACGCTCCTCTGAGCGACCGAAAGCACTCATGGGACTCTTTCCTGCCCCCCGAACGGACCAGTCGGGAACAGAAGGCGCACACAGCCCTGTTTTCCAAACGGGGAAGCTGAAGTGGGGTGAAGTGTGCAGAGGGGACAGGTGAGTCTATGGTGGTGTGAGGGGCTAGGCCAGGGTCACCAACAGGGCTTCACCTGGTGCTGTGGGAAGCCTGAATGCAGCAGGGCCTCCAGCGTGATGTTGAGGAAGCTGCCACGGTAAGGATGATCACGGGGCGGGTCTCGAAGGTTGAGCAGCAGTGTGGCATTACCTTTGGCTAGCTCCAGGAGCTCTGCCAGGCTGCAGATGGACTGGTTCTGGACCTCCCTGACGTCTGAGGGTGACAGGGAGCTGGCTGTCCAGAAGGGGTCAGTCTGGCAGAGACAGGGACATACACGGCTGTCACCAGCCCTTCGGGGCTTTCAAGCACCTCCCTGGCAATAGAGCATGGAGACCCAGGGCAGCCAGTGACTGCTGGCATATTGGCAGTTGATGGCTGTGGCCCATTTAGGGACCTAACCTTCACCTCAGTGGTCCCCACCTGCTTCCCAAGAGAACCCTTTGCTTGGAGCCAGTCCAGTGTGGCCTTGAGTCCATTACGTAGCCAAGGATGACCCTGAACTCCTGATCCTCTTTGTGCTGAGACTACACTACTCTACCAAGTTTATGAGGTGCTAGGGATTGAACCCAGGGCTTAGCACATGCTAGGCAAGCAGTCCACCAAGTGAACTACATCCTCAGTCCTAGGGCTACGGCTTCAACAAGCCTATTAAGGATCAGCATCCTTGAGAGGGAAAGCCAACAGACCAGAGACCCCTTAACAAGCAGTGATAGCTCCGGGGTCTGGATGCCCGAGTCCACAGAAGGTCGCTGGCTGGGGTCCTCTGAGCTGATGGCCACCTGCCTCCTCCTTTAGGAGCCTTCCACGTCTCCCGTGCCTAGGGCAGGCCCAGGTATAGGCAGACCTTGAGGAACCACTGGCCAGCATTCAGCCTCTGCAGGACAGTCCAGTTGAGCATGGCCGCAGGCCTGCGGGCGAGCTCCGGAAACATCTGCTCCACGTTGGTGGTCCGCCTCAGGGTGGTGTCGTGCATGAGAAAGGGCACGCCGTCCAGGCTGCAGGACAGGGTCACTGTCACCACCCACTCAGGGCTATCACCTGCCCCCAGTCACCACCCTCCCTTCTCCCCGCCCTCAGAGGACACAGCTCTTCTGTTCCCATCTCAGCTCCAGACTCCCCACCTACATGGGGAGCGTCCTGGGCCGGTGGGGACCTCAAAGGACTCCAGGGACAAGTCCTTGGACTCTACGAAGGTCAAGTGGGGAAGACAGCTGAGGAGGGGAGGCCCGGGGAAAGTGAGTTCTGTCACTTAGCAACGTTAGGTGATAATGGGGGGGAAATGAGGCTAAGCAGGAAGCACTTATGTCAAGGTCTACGGCCACTAAGTGGTGGGACCTGGCCTCAAACCAAGTCCTTGAGATGCCATATTGATAACAGTGCCAGCACAGGTCCCTCTGACAAAGTCCGCCTATTTCCCTCATTCTTCTCATCCCACCAGGGCTGGCCAGGGTTCACAGGGCGCCGTAGTGTGAAATAATAAAGAGCACCAGGCTTCCCGCTCCTCAAGGCATTTTATCAACTCCTGCCGGAGAGGTACGGTGTGTCTAATCCATGCTGTCCACACCGGGAGGGGTAACCTCACACGCATGGTGTAACTGTTCCTTGTGCACCCCGTGGAATAGTATTTGGTGGCCCTGCCTTCTCCTCTCCTTGGGGGTGAGAAGATAGGTCGGGGTGGGTTTCCCCAGCACTTATACTAACACATATGGTGATCTGCAGATGGAAATGTGCACATCACTTCTGTATGGTCTTGTTTGCTTTGTTTTTTGAGACAGGGTTTCTCCATGTAGCTCTGGCTGTCCTGGAACTCGATCTATAGACCAGGCTGGCCTCGAACTCACAGAGATCCGCCTGCCTCTGCCTCCCAAGTGCTGGGATTAAAGGTGTGGACCACCACCGCCTGGCTTCTGTACAGTCTTGGATCCAGCACTGCCACTGTATTCTCTGTACCTTGCTTGCTTCACTTAGCCAAGTGTTTGCACTCACCCAGCAGAGAAACACGGATCTAATTCTCTTTCTAATGTGTCCGTGGCAGGGCTCCAGGTCCTCACACCCAAACAGGAGCCTGTTCTTTACATTCTGGAGTCTGGCACAAACCTCATTTGCCCTGAAAGGGTGCCTGGCCTGTTGTGGACCATCCAAGCCTCCACGCTCCCACGGCTAAGGCAGGGTCAGGAGGTTTTACCCCGAGACCCAAATGCAGACGCTAGGGAGTGGGGAGCTACCACTGCCCTCCTCCCCCATGCCAACCTGATGCTGACGTCTGCTTGCAACCCATACAGCTTCTGCTCCAGGGCCTTCCGGAAGGACATCAGGGTGTGTTCTGGAGCCAGCTGCAAAGGAAAGGGTGGTGAGGGCGGAGCTAGGGTCCCACTGGTGACCCCTCCCCAGCCAGTGGGTAGTCTGCCCTGCTGGGAGGTCTGCTTCTCACCCTGGCTCATTTGTGGAGTTGCTGTGGCAACCCGGGCACCCACACAGCTGCTCTGAGGCTCAGGTTTTCCATTTGTTAGGACATGTGTACCTCCCGGGGGACTGGAGGGGGGGGGGGCAGCAGCGTGCTGAGTGTGTACATATGGAAGCCCGGCACAGCTAGGGCTTAGCACACAGTAACTCTGACCACATCAACCTTGCTGCACTACAGTCACTGAGCAAGACTCTGGAAGCAAATGGCCTTTTCCACAGGTCTGTGGCTCTGTGGCAGCCTTGGGCAGAGCCTAGTTCCTTCTGGATTAATCTCAGAGCCCAGTCCTGGTGGAGATTCTAGAGGGGGAAGGAGAGGAGATGGGGCTTCTGTGGTGTGATGAGTTTCTTCATCTAATCAGACACGATAATATTCTCTTCATCCATACACTAATACATGCATTAAAACCCAACTTAAGCTGCAACCCTACAGCAGATCACCCAGATCAGTTCCAGCCACCACACTGCGTGACCCTGCCTTGCAACCTTGGGTGAATTCTCCCTCCTAAGCACCCACCTCCTCTTCTGCCCATTGGGGATGTGGGCTCACTGTTCTCTGAAAGTATTTATTCAGCTGAGGAGTGAGTTTCCAAGTCTCCTTCAATGCCATGCAGAGTAAGTTGTCATACCTCCTCCTACCACTAGGGGTCAGCACCAAACCAGAGATTGGATTTAGACGCAGCAACTCTAAAGGCTGGCAATCATTTGAGAAGCCCCATTGAACACACACTTGGTGACCCTGGACACAGTCATTCACGGTGACATCGACGGGGTACTGGATGCCCCCACCCCAAACCCAGCACTAAAGAGCCTGCAAAATGGCTTAGTAGGTAAAGGTTCTTGCTGTCAAACTCGACTGCCTGAGTTTCATCCACAGGACAGCATGGTAGGAGGGAACTGACTCCAGCTGATTGTCCTCGGAATCTCCACATGTATTCTGAGACATAAACCTTGCACCCCCAATTAAAAAAAACATTTTTTAAAGTTGACTTCGCAGAGGTAAAGAGCAGAATAGTGGTTAGCTGAGGTTAAGAGTGGGGAGGAAAAGGCTGGTTAGCAGGTAGGACTAATGGGCAGAGGGGAGAGGTTCGGGCAGCCTGCAGCAGTGGGGGGGGGGGGTGTGTGGTAAAGGAGAACTCCCTGTATGTTTTAAAACAGGCGGACGAGAGGATTCTGAATGTTCCTAACACAATGAAACGATGTGTGAGGTGACAGGTGAATCTCTTTGATCTGAGAATAATGCCTTGTGCACACATGTGAGAATAACACCCTGACCTGCAAATATGCACCGTTATCCTATGTTGGGTAAAGAGAAAAAGAAAAACCATAAAATTGAACACCACAACCAGGCATGGTGGCACACACCTGTGACCTCCTCAACACGCAGGAGGGTGAGACGGAGGTCTGTGAGTTCTAGGCTATTCTGGGCTGCACCCTGAGACCCTGTCTCAAAAAATTAAACAGCAGGCATAATGAGCAAGTCACCACAGGGCCGCGAGCAGCCAAGTGCACAGCTTGGGAGCTTGTCTGGTGACAGCTTTGTCAACAGATAAATAGCACAGAGGAGAACTGGGGGGGGGGGCTGCCACAGAATAAAAGGCTCCGAGGAGACATGTGTCAAGCAGATGGGCAGCATGATGTCATTTGGATGCTGGTTTTAAAAATCTGTACTACAAAAAGATATTTGGGGAGAAAATAAAGGAAAGCTAAACTGTGATTCTAGGTCATGTTAAACCATTGTTAATCTGGGGGCTGCAGAGACGGCTCTGAAGCGAGGAGCACTGGCCGCTCTTTCAGAAGGCCCAGTGTGGTTCCCAGCACCCATGTGGCAGCTCACACACAATGCCATCCAGTCCCAGGGGATCTGACACCCTCTTCTGGCCTCCACAGTGCCAGGCAAAACAACCGTACACATAAAAATGAAGATAAATACCTTAAAAATTGTTAATTTGGCAGAGTGTTCTAATTATTATCAGTATGTAAGTGTGTGCATATGTATGTATGTGCGTCGGTGTGTGTGTGTGTGTGTGTGTGTGTGCATGTGTGTGTGTGTGTACATGTATGCAGGTACCATGGAGCCCAGAGGCCAGAAGCATTAGATGCCCCTGAAGTTGGCGGTACAGGCAGTTGGGAGCTACCTGATTTGGGTGCTGGAAACCGAATTACACACTCTTAACCACTACATGCTACATGCTCTCAATCACACCGTGCTCTTAACCACTGAGCCATCCCCCCAGCCCCGTGGCTTTGGAGAGCTTTTTTCTGCACTGAATCCAACAACATGGCACTCCCTGCAGAGCCCGGTGTCCAGAGAGCTCTAGCGTAGGTAGGGATGGGCACCGCCTCTACCCAGAGGCTCAGGTCCCAGGTGCTGGTGCATGGGGACACTCTTATCTGAAAGGGGGTCCTGCGGAAGGTGGCAATCCTGTCTCTTACTTTGTGTGCCTGGGATCTATCTGGACACTTTGTCCATGCTCGCCTTCACCCCACAGCAGCCACCATCACTGTGTGTATGGCCTAGGAGGGGACAGGGAACAGAGATGGTGAAGCAAGACCTCTACCACAGCTGGCCAGGGCCTGGACCAAGCCCCGCAAGGCAGCATGGCTCTGGAGACTTTGTCTATCTCAGCTCTCTTACGGGGTGCTGGGCACCTCAGTGCTGCGTCCCAATACTGATTTTGACTTTGTCCCTTCCTCTTCAGTCAAGTCCACTGTCTTCCCTCGAGTGGTTAGAACTGGGATCTCCTGCCTTCCACCTGGCCTTCGCCCTGAGGTCACCTGCTTACAGCTCTCCTGGCCTCCATTAGCCAAGGGCTGGCACTGCAGGGCTGGAGCCGAAAACCCTCTAGCATATCTTGGGATTTTTCTAGCAGGAGTCTTTAGGGCTCTTTGGGATCCATGCCTACCCAGCTTCTCAGGTCTTCTCCTCAGTCCCTCCTACTACTCCTGAAAGGGCATTGAGCTGGCCTATTGCTCTTCTACCACACGGATCACATCCATTTCCCTCAGGGTCCTCCCTGCAGTGGCCGTCACCCGCCCGGTTCCGCCCTCTGGGGCCACTCACCATGGGGGCCCCTCGGTGGCCAATGAGGGCAGGCTTAGGGCCCAGGTCCTTTTTCTCCATGATGCAGGGAGACGAGATGGTGAGAGGGAGCAGGTAGAGGCTGAAGACCACGGCAAAGAAGGAGCAAAGAACGGTGACCTGAGAGGCTGCGGACACGGGCGGTGGGAACTTCCGGTGAGTCACCTGTTCGGCCCTCACCAGGCCCAACCCGGCCTAGTGGGCCAGACTGGGATGCAGAACTGGGTGATCTGAGGAGCGGCCTTTGCTCTTGACAGGAAGTGCACCCCATCTACAACTTAGGCACCCATGTACACACAGACATAGGGACCCGGAGCAGGGATCCAGAGCAACCTCTGGTAGCATCTGTGAACCACCTAGAGCCAGCCCCTCCCCCTTCCCATGCTGAGCACCAAGGCCCCACCTCATGCCCAGGCCACCCAGGTAGAGTCCCAGTAGGGACAGCCTAAGCAGGCCTTGGTATTTGTGAAGTTCGGGATGCGTGGGCCCTCCTCAGGGGGTACTCACAGGAGCGCTCTGCACGGGCGAACTGTCCTGCTACGATCCAGGAGAGTGCAGTGATGGCCACCAGGGCCCCTATGTGCAGGAATGGTGCCGTGCCCTGTGTGTGAGGAGAGGCAGGGGGGACCTGGGACTCAGAGGCAGGCCCAGACTCTCAGGTCACCAGCATGCTGCTGACTGTCTCTACCTACACGACAGGCAATCCTGTCTCCATTTGTCAGCTGAAGACACTGGGAATCCTGCTGTGAGGAAACCCCTTCCTGTTCTGCTCTGAGCTTTGGTGTGGAGGAACAGGTATGATAAAAGCACCCCCTGTTGCAAGGGTCCTGGGGAAGCAATGTCCCTGTCCCTAGCCCAGCTCACTCACCTGCAGGGAGATCAGCAGCACTTCCCATTCATCTTCCCACAGCTGGGCCACTGCTGACATGGCCACCACGGTGGAGGCCAGGATGACCACCAGCACCATCTGGAAAGGGAGGTACCAGACAGAGGGTCATGGCAGGAGAGAAGGGAACTTGTGTTTGGAGGAGGAGAGAAGAGGAGAGGGGAGGGGAGGGGAGGGGAGGGAGGCAGGAGTGCACAAAGGCCAGGCTGTGGTGGCACCTGCCTCTAATCCTTGGGAAGCAGAGGCAGGTGAATCCCTGAGTTCGAGGCCAGCCTGGTCTACAGAGCCCATTCCAGGACAGTCAAGGCTACACAGAGAAACGGAGTCTCAAAAAAACCAAAACCCAAAGCCAAAACCAGCAACAACAAAAACCAAAAGAAGAGGAAGTTCACAAAGAGCAAGGAAGAGGAGGAAGGGGAGAGCCTGGGATGGGCTGAAGGCAGCAGGGATGTGAGAGGAAGGGCAGAGGCAGAGGCAGGAGAGAGCTGTGCAGTGGGACGGGACTGGGCTTCACTGGGGAGCAGATGCTGAGGCTGGACTCTGCTCATGGTGCTGCCTGAGAAACTGGCTGCCTGGGTCTCCTGCATCTGGCTGTTTTTTTCTTGACACAAGGTCTTATGTAGCCTTGAACTCCTGACATTCCTGCCGCTAGGATTACAGGACTACACCACCATGTTTATGCTATGCTGGGGACTTCTGCATGCTGGGTAGACACTAGCGACTGAGCCACATCCCCAGCCCGGCTTCTAGGATGTTCCACAGGAAGTGTGGGGGCACAGCTGTAATGAACATGGAGGTACCTTCAGGGACAGAGATCTGTGGTGACAGATGGCACCTGAAACCCCAAGCTAAGTAAGACTAAGCTGGGGTTCCCTGCTTCAGTCCTCTCTGGAGCCCTAGAATTCTTCATGGTTCCGGCCCCTCCTCCACCAGCAAAGCCTCTGAAGAGCACTTTCTGAAGACATCTTATTACAATAGGAGGCCACCAGCGGGAGCCCTTGCAATAAAACCGATTCCCCATAATCCTAATACAATTAAAATTTCATCAGTTTTACAGTTTACCCATCATGCTTAGCAGCAGCATCGAAAGTTCGGGGAGAGACTTCTTCCCCATGGTGTGCTTCAGCCACAGGAATAACACAGGCTTACAACATCATGACCCCTCCCAAACCTAACCCGGGAGCACCTGGAGGCCTGGGGTAGACCTGAATTCAGCCATGGCATTTCTGTCTTTCTGGGCTATGACTATGATGGCTATAAAGAATCCCATTCATTCATTCATTCACTCACTCACTCACTCACTCACTCACTCACTCACTCACTCACTCACTCATTCATCTGAGTCTTGCCTGTGTGCTAAGACCCAAGAAGAATTGGAATCCAGCCTTGTAGATTGGTCTCTTGGCAGGTGCCTGGTTCTTAGGCCTGGGTCTCTCTCTATACCTGAGTCACACTCCTGGGTCAAATCCCACTCTGTTGCATTGGAGGAGAGTACAACTTTGGGGAACTTCTCTGAGCTGGGACATAGGGACAGTGATGAGTGAGTGCCTTCCGGGGAGGGGTCAGGGACATAAATGGGAACACACATGCTCTTTGCACAGTGACTGCCACTGAAAGGAAATGAGTATTAGACGTGAGTGCCTCCACTCTGAGTAATCATAACCAAAAGGGGTGACAGAGGAACAGATGAAACCCTGTGGGGGAAGTGCCCGTCACACACAGTAAGCACCCAAGAAACGCTGCTCAATGCTATCATGACAAACCTGGTGTCTGGCAGACAGGAAGTTCTCAAACGTGCCTTTCTAGGGAGCAGCTGGAAGGACAGAAGCTAGCTGCCAGAAAGAACTGTCACGTGCCCCAGCTGCTGAGGAACAGCCTGAATTCATGGTGCTGCTGGGGTGTCCAGGGCTCAGCAGGCACCAGCCCAGCTCAGTCACACTTGTGGTCAGGAAGAGTCTCTGGGCTTCAGCCTGGGTGGCTGATAGGGCGTCCTGGGACCAAGCCTGGGACTACAGCAGCTGACCCTGGGGTAGGGAATTAGCACCACAGAGCAGGGACAGAGCAGAGCTAGTGAATATCACCACATCTGGGAGGAGACTGCCAGGACAGCCCCCCTCACAAGAGGCATCTGAGATGGCTCTGGGTGGTGGCTGGGCACAAAGGTCATCTCACTGACAGGTCTTCTGTCTGCTACAAAACAGCTCCCCCAAATCCCTTGACTTCCCTCACCTCCCAGGACCCTAGACTTCTCTGGGGATCCCTCGCAGGCTGGAGCTCTGGGCCACAGTATTCACCTAGTACAGATGGCCCTCTCCCTGCTCATTCCTAACCCCCTCTCTCTACCTTCCCCTCCTTGGGACTCGGGAGAACCAGGGACTTTAAACAGACCAGGATTAAAATGTCCCATAAAACTGTCATCTTCAAAGCAACGTGACCCTGGCATAAAACCAGAGAAGTAAATGAAAGCCAAGTTCAGAAAGAGGTCTGACTGCATTAAAGGAATATAATGGCATTTCAGATTGGAGGGGGGGAGTGTGTGTGCAAGGGGGACGGCTGAGGACATGCTGGGGACACTGGGAAGCATCTCCAGGGAGCTTGGCAAGATCACACTAGGCCCCAAAATAACTTCCAAAAGATCTACGAACATTTAAATGTCAAAAAAGCAATGCCATACAATTACCTAGGGATATCACACAAAAATTTTCATATCATCTTGGAGTGGGAAGGGCCCTTCCTTCAAGTCTGACCCAACACCCAAGGGCAATAAAAAAGATGACAGATTCAGATTTTTGTGGTTGTTGTTGGTGGTGGGTTTTTTGTTTGTTTGTTTGTTTTTTGTTTTGTTTTGTTTGTTTTTTCTAGACAGGGTTTCTCTGTGTAGCTTTGCACCTTTCCTGGAACTCACTTGGTAGCCCAGGCTGGCCTCAAACTCAGAGATCCGCCTGGCTCTGCCTCCCGAGTGCTGGGATTAAAGGTGTGCGCCACCACTGCCCAGCTTTTGTTTGGTTTTTGTTTTTGTCTTATTTTTCAAGCAGGTTTCTCTGTGTAACAGTCCTGGCTATCCTGGAACTTGCTCTGCAGGCGAAGCTGGCCTCGAACTCACGGAGATCTGCCTGCCTCTGCTGCCCAAGTTCTGGGATCAAGGCGTACGCCACCTCACCCACCCATATTTAAATGTTCTTTTAGAATTTAAAAAAAAAAAAATCACATGGCACAAATACAAGAAACAAAGTCAAAAGATGAATGACAAACTGAGCAATTTTTAAATTATCTGCAGTTCATCAGCCCAAGGGTCAACAACCCAGATCTACCAGGAGCTTCTGTAAATTAATAAGCAGACCCCACAGCAAAAGGATAGGAACCAGGAAGCCAAAACTCCAGTGCCCACGTCTGTGAAAGACCAAGTCCACTTACTGTCCAGGGAGCATGGGTTGGTGGTGTGTGGCAAAGAGGGCACTGGGCAAGATCAAGGTTATGAAAGTAGACCTTCTTGTTGGACATGGCGGCACATATCTGTAATGTGTGCACTCAGGAGGCTGAGGTAGGAGGAGGATGAGTTGGAGATGAGCCTGGGCTCCAGTGACCCTGTCCCCAAAATAACATAACATAAAATAAAAAGCTGACAGCGAGAGTGGTGGCGCACACCTTTGATCCCAGCACTCGGGAAGCAGAGGCAGGTGGATCTCCGTGAGTTCGAGGCCAGCCTGGTCTACAGAGTGAGCGCTAAGTGAGACGCAGTCTCAAAATAACAACGAAAGAAAAGAGAAAAAGAAAAACACACGATGTTTATTTTCTCCCAGATCAGAGCTGCACTGCCCTGGAAAAAGATTGAAAACCATTGGATCTTTAACAGGATCTGCGTAGATACCTAGAGAATGAGGGGACAAGAGCAGGTGACAGGCGCCGATGGGCATGGCCTTCCTGTGTCCAGGAAGGGCTCCTAGCACTTTTCTAAGAGGGGGGCAAAGGGGAGGTGAACTATGTGTGCATTTAAGAAAGGGAGGGCGCTGAAGAGACCGTGCAGCAGTTAAGAGCACTGGCTGCCCTAGCAGAGGACCAACCACATGACTGCTCACAACTGTCTGCAATTCCAGTTCGGGGACTCTGACGCCCTCTTCTGGCCTCTGCAGGCATTGTATACAGGCCGTATACTTACATACATGCAGGCAAAATACCCGTGCTCATAAAAAAAATAATAAATTTAAAGAAAAAAGGAACCAGGCAGTGGTAGTGCACACTTTAATCCCAGCACTTGGGAGACAGAGACAGGCGGATCTCTGTGAGTTCCAGGCCAGCCTGGTCTACAAAGTGAGTTCCAGGACAGCCAGAGCTGCATAGAGAAACGCTGCTTAGAAAAACCAAACCAAACAACAACAATAAATAAATAAATAAATGAATGAATGAATGAATAAACCAAACAACAACCAAGGGAGATCAGTGAGATAGCACCCGTTGCCAAGCCTGATGATCTGCGTTTGATCCCCAGGACCCACATGGTGGGAAAGAAGAACCAACTTCCAAAAGGTGTCCTTTGACTTCCATATATGTGCTGCACACACACACACACACACACACACACACACACACACACACACACACACACACACGAGAGGGTAATTAAAATGAAAAGGCAGTGTATGTAGGGAAATTTTCATTGAGTATGATTTTTTTCATGTCTGAATTTTTGGTCACATAAAAGAGTGAATTAAGATAAAGCAAGCAGACATAGATGACAAGGATCCCTTAACTATGTAGAGTTTCCAGGCCCTGGTCAAATGCCCTGAGCCTGGGAAACCAGTCCAGCCTGGATCAGCACTGTCTGGCAGGCCCCTCCGCCTCTGAGATCTCCCAGGACTGTGTGGATGGAGGACAAAGGGCCCGAAGCAGGAAGCAGGAAGCAGGTTAGCTGAGGGACTCCTTCATGGAGCCTCCGATCTGCCTGGCTCTGCAGAACTGCAGGCTTTTCCCCTACGATCAAGTGATCTGCTGAGAGCCAGGCGCAGCCCCAGGAGGTGACCACAGCATGTGTGCCCCATCCCCAGGAGCCAGCTGGTCCCCTCTTTCAAGTATTAGCTATGTAGTTCAGAGTAGAAAGGACCTCTCAGAGGGGGCTGAGGAAGTCCCAGAGCCGTCCTCAGAAAGAAAGACCAGCAGGACTGTCCTACTGTTCTCTTCATCCCTGCAAGACTTCGGCCACCTGGGCCTGGCTCCCAAGGTGTCCCCCACTGCTGGCCCTGCACCTCCCAATCCAACTCATGCTCATCTGTGCCCTAGCTCCCTCTTCATGTCCCTCGGCTAGCTGGGCCCATCTCCAGGGTCCCATCTGTTTCTAGGCGTTTCTGCCCCTTCTTAGATGGTGTACTCACTCGTACCCATGCTCTGGTTAAAGAGATGACCCACCCCTCCCTCTGCACCCTGGGGCTCCTAGACGGGGCATGGGGGTGGTTCTATGTTGGCCAGGACTGGCCCAATTCTGTTCTGTTCAAGCAGAGCAGGCATTAACAATCTACACTGTGTGTGTGTGTGTGTGTGTGTGTGTGTGTGTGTGTGTGTGTGTGTGTGTGTG